AGCAGGCAAGCAAACAAGCAAGAAAAGCAAATAGAGAAGAAACTTTCTATCCTCTCTCCTAGGCCTGTTTTTAATTTCTTTCTTTTAGTTCCCTTTTTATTAATTGCATTTTGTTACATTTGATTGATTTGATTATGTGGATGATGATGATACTGATTATTATTAATACTATGGTAAACAGTCTTTTGACCCCTGTGTGTGTTTTGTTATTATGGTAACAAGTTTTTCAGGCCTTTCACAATGAAAGGCAGCATAAAGAGGTTAAAGCAGGAAGGAAGGAAGGAAGGAAAGCAGGCAAGCAAGCAAGAAAAGCAAGTGGAGAAGAAACTTTCTGTCAGTGGTAAACAGAAAAAAATTCTCCAGCAGGATCAGAATGGTGAAAGTTTACTTTGGACAGCTGCAATGCTCAAAATATGCCATCTGGGAATTATAAGTCCAGAAATAATCCAGTTTGAGACCGCTTTAATTGTCCTGGCTCAGTGCTAGGGAATTCTGGGAACTGTAGTTTTGTAGACAGCCTCCTCCGTCAGAGAGTTCTGGTGCCACAATAAACTGCAATTCCCAGGATTCTCTAGCACTAAGCCAGGGCAATAAAAGTGATCTCAAACTGGATGAGTTTTGCAGTGAGTTTTGGACCATAGTAAAAAACAAACAAACAAACAAAAAACCCTCAAGAAACTTTTCCAAACTCTGATGTCCTAGTCCAGGGGTAGGCAACCTTTCCCCTTTAAGGGCCGAGGAACTTCAGCTCCCAGAAGCCTCAGCCATGTTGGCCAATAGTCCCATGTTGGCCAATAGCTCCTGGGATTCTGGGAGCTGAAGTCCCTCCGCCCTTAAAGGGGAAAGGTTGCCTACCCCTGCCCTAGTCTCATTAGCCCCTAGTTTACCAGGGCACGCAGGTTTAGTTTTCGCAGTTCCCCAAATGCTAAAACTCTTCCTAGTGAAATACACTTTCTTGCAGGGTGGTGGGCTGTCTTTTGGATGTATGGATGACCATCTTCCAGGTGTGCTATAGTTGTGCTTTTTTGCATGGCAGGTGGTTGGACTAGGTGGACATTCCTTCCAGTTCTATGATGCTGTGATTCCATGTTATACTATAAAGCAAAGCAAAGCAAAGCAAAGCAAAGCAAAGCAGCTTCATTTATATACTGCTTCATATCACGCTATGGGATGTCTAAGCAGTTTACAATTGTAAGCTCATTGCCCCCCAACAGCTGGGTACTCATTTTAGCGACCTCAGAAGGATGCAGGCCTGAGTCTAGCCTGAGCCCTGGCTGGTATTGAACTCGCAACCTTGTGGTCTATGAGTGAGTGGGGGCAGTAATGTGGGCCCAGTGTGGTAGGGGAATGAATAGCTGCAGGCAGGCAGGCAGGCAGGCAGGAAGGAAGGAAGGATGAGGAATATTGTGGAAGTGTCATTTTACTTGGGCAGGGACAGTGACGGGAAAAAAAATCTCAGAAATATTATCAGAAAAAATGGCTCAGCCCTTAAGTCAAACAACCAATTTACTGGTATGCAAAAGGATTTTGTAGCACCTTTGAGACTAACTACAAAATCCCTTTGCATACTGATATTTCAAACTAACATAATTATGGTTCTGAATTCTACAGCCAATTTACTTTTCCAAAGCTGGAAATAAAGAATTATGGAATAGTGAAAGAAATGACAGAATTGGAAAAGGTTTTATTAGGTGAGAATCAAAAAGTACTATCCAAAATTTACAAAATATTATTAAGATGGGAAACAGAGGAAGAAGTGATTAAAGTATCTATGGTGAAATGGACACAAAATATGGGTCAGATCATTGAATTAGATAAATGGGAAAAGGTAAGGAAAAAAACCCCAATGAAAATCTCATTAGCACAAAATATTAAAGACAATTTATTTAAGATGCACCATAGATGATCTCTCATGCCCAAAAGGCTCTCAAAGATGTATAAACAAGTCAACAATAAGTGCTGGAAAAGCAGGAAGGAAACAGGAATGTTTTATCACCAATGTTGGACCTGTGCTAAAATTAAGAAATTCTGGAAACATATACATCAATTAATTGGAAAAAAATTAAATCTAAAATTCCAAATGAAATCAGAATTATATCTATGAGGGATGATATATGAACAATTTTGGAGGAAAAAATGTGAGAATGATTTATTATATGACAGCAGCAGCTAGGTTACTATTGTCACAAAAATGGAAAGACTGTGAAATACCAAAAATAGAAGACTGGTTATTAAAGCTATTAGATATGGTGGAACTAGATAAATTGACATGTCTTATGAGAAGAGAAAGTCTGGGGAAGTATGTAAGAAAATGGGAACAGATATTGAAATATATGTGGGAAATGGGGTATATTGATAAATATGGATATGTAGGCTTACTGATTAAAATCGATGTGCAATTATATATATATGTTTTAGGATAATAAGTATAAACCCTTCATTTCTGTAAAATTAGAATGTTTTTTCCTCTCTCTCTCTCTATCTCTTTGTATGATATAGGATAAGAACAGTTTGATTAAGAAATAATGGAATATTAACATGGAGTTCTTCTAGTTTAGGAAGTTAGGTATAAGAGCATAGATAGAAAAGAATGCACTTATTAAAGATATTAAATATTATATAAGATAGGATTAGAAATAATAGATACTTACAAGAACTTGTGTATAAGATATATATAAGAATAGGTGTATCTTTTCTTTTTTGTATAGGTATGAATAATTCTATATTTATTTGTTTATTCATTTTCGTTTTCATGTGTGTTTTATGTTAAATTAATTAAAAACTTTTTAAAAAATATTAACTTTTCAAAGCTTTAATAAACAGGTGTATTTACAGCTAGATTACAATCTTTAGTGTGGTTTGTGCAACAGTTAAAGAAATAAATGTTTTTTTTCCTTTAGGAAACAACTCCGGATGAAGTAATTACTGCTTATTTCAATGAATTTGCTCATTAGGTTTAAAATAAAAAGGAAGGCAGCTCACATGAAGCATAAGGAGGATGCTATAATTGAAGGTTGAACCAATGTTCAGATTTCTGTGTTATACTTCTTTTTATTTTGTAGCAATGGAGAGAGAAGGCAGGGTCACTGCACAGGTATAAGAAACTCCAGTAACTGCAGTTTTTAATTGGTGTTGAGTTGAATTTTGGACAGGAAAAAAAGTTAAACCCAATTTTTAAATAGGTGAAGTCTCAACTGAGCATACCATAGGGCAATTCTCTTTTACATTTTCTAGAAAGGAGGCTCATTTCAAAGCATTGGAAAGGAAACTCATTGTTGTATTCTTTCTCCACAATGCTGCTAGCTATTATTTGTAAATTTTCTAGAATTCTCCAGGACAAGATCATAAGATATTGGAGCTTTTTAAGGAGCATTCTAGGAAAATAATGTAATTTGAAATAGTTGCCCCAGGGAATTTCAATACGGTGGCTGAATTCCATAAATTGATGGGATGAATGCCAGTGAGCGTCATCCCCTGCCCTTGGATTTGGTCACCATGTACCTAGAAAATGATCCCTTTTTGCAGCTTACAAACACAACTGTAAAGAGATTTTAGTAGTGTTGTTTTTGTAAGAAATTTGGGTTCCTTCAATTGATATTAGTCATCTCCAAGCTGGAGATAATCTGCACCTCTCTGTCCCTGAGCTCTTGATCCAGCCAGTAGATTATGATGCCTTCCATTGTG